CGCGGCGGCAGCTCGGCGTCATCCCGCGCGGAGAAACCGCAGGCTGGCGGAGGGGGCGGCCGGCGGGCGGGCGCTTCCAGCGGGCGGGGGCAGGTCACTCCAGCGACAGAAGCCACTGACAGCACGGCCTCCTTGACGGGGGACAAGGCGGCTGCAGGCTCCCCCTTTGAGAGACGATCTAAAGCCACACCGGCTGCCCCTTGGCACAGCTTTTTTTTCTTTGGAAGGAAAGAAACCCGAAAGCTCCAACTTTGCTTCTCCGGCCAAAGCCTCCCACCATCCACAGGGAGGGCGCTTCACCACGTGATCGCTCGCCCGCGGCACGGGGTACGGGACAGAGGTGGGCATCCCGGCTCAAACGCGGCCCTCCCCCACCTTCCGGGGCTGCACCCCCCAGGATCCCACTGCTGCCCCGGAAGTAAGTCAGGGGCGGGGGGGGGGGGCGCAGCAGGCAGCCTGGAGGCTTTCTCCAGGGTCCTAAGGGGCTGGTGTGGGAGGGCGGGGGAGGGGCAGGGCCCCGAGGGCAGGGCCAAGGCGGCCACAGAATCAGCAGGCCGCTGTCTCGGGGTGGGGGGTGCTGACGGGCTGGAAGCCCAGACAACTGAAGGTCAGCTCTGCCCAGGACTAGATTCGCCCCCTGCAGGAAGCAGGCGGCCCCAGCACGCAGCCAACTGGGAGCAGCACCCGGGGGCCCGGAGCAGGAGGGACAGGGTGCTTGGACACGGTGGTGGGCAGTAGCCAAGAACTTCCCATTGCACAGACGAGGCAGGGGACGCAGCTGGGGGACGCACACGTGTTCTGACCCACTCCTGAGCCCTCCGTCCCTGCATCAGACACAGCACACAGGAACTCGCGGGGGTGGCCCTGTCTCCCAGGAAGGGGCCAGCACAGCAGGGACACACACTTTGACAAGGGGAGGCCACACAACCCAGCGCGACCGGTCCAAGGCAGTCTCGGAACTTGGGAGCTCTCCCTGGGCTCGCGCTCTGCCCCCAGCCCTGGGGTCTGCCTGCGAAGCGCAAGGAGCCCCGGGTCGGGGAGCTCAAGCTCAGCCCCCACGGCCCACCAGATGCGGCGTCCAGGGCCTGGGAGCCCATGGGCAGGGCTCACACCGGCCTGGCCTTTAGTCAGTGGCAGGCTCTCTAAACCGTGGCTTCCCCTCACATCACAACGTGGCGAGATCAAGACATGGGCCTCCCGGGACTCCTGTGAGGTCAGATGGGGCTATACCGCTGGCCTGTGGTGGAACCAGAGAGCCCCAGGGAGCCCCAGCTTTAACCGCTTGGCAGTTAGCCAGGATCCGGAACCACAGGAGTGGAGGGGAGGAGCCGGGAGGGCGGGGGCCCTGGGGCCAGCTCACCCTCCACCAGGCCCCCTCACCCTTCCATCCCATGCCTCCCAACCAGAGTACAGACACAACTGCCTCCCCGGCACCCCTTCTCCTCCCCTCTGAACTTCTCAAAGGGAATGGGCACCCTGGCTGGCAGGTGCCACCTGCCACCCTCTCCTGCCCTTCTCCAGGGAGAGGCCTCCCAGGGCCAGGCTGCTGAAGCGACGCATTCTGAGTTTGCACTTCCCTTCACAGAGCAGCCCCTTGACACTCTGGAAAGATCACGCCCGCTCCGAGGGCCCTGAGCCCTGCTGTCCCCGGGGACACACACCTCTGCCAGGCTCCAGGGTCCTGCTCTCCCTACAGTGGGCCAGCTCCACCCACCTCGCAGATGAGCCCACGTATCCCAGCAGCAGCCCCTCACGCCGGGGGGCTTGTCAGGGCAGCGCGGCTGGCAGAATGCCGGTGCCCCCCATGGACGGCACAGGGCAGGGGCGTGTGGGCGTGGTGGGCAAGGGATGGATGGCACAGAGCTCAGCCCAGATCCAGCCCTGCTCCGGCCCCAAGGTCACTCTGACCTTCGCAGCCTCGGGGTCCCACTCTACAAAATGGGAACAGCAGCGATGCATGCCTCGTGGGCCCGCGGAGGAGCGCACGGAATAACCCACCCGCGCCCAGGCCGGCAGCCGTGGTAACGGCAGCAGCGTCTTGAGCGCGGTCATCGCTTGCATGTGCTGACGCCCTCCTGCTCCTGTAAGGACCCCTCCCAGGCTAAAGGCGAAGCCTGTCTCCTGTGTCCCCTCTTAAGCCTCTCAGCGGTTCCCAACCCATGAAGAACTTCCCGACTCTCACGGCTGCCACTGTCTCGTCCCTAAACCGCGTGGCTCCGCCATCCTGCTTGCTGAAAACAGGCCTGACTTCCTATGAAGAAGGACGGCTCGAAATTCTCCCCCTGCATTAGTTCAGGGTCTAAACAGCCCCCGGTCCCCTGCCCATCACGACCTGTCTCATTTTCATTCACAGGCAGACCTGGGTCTGAATCCCTACCCAGGCATTTATCAGTTTAGCTTCTCTAGCCTCAGTTTCCCCACCTGCAAAGTGGGAATGGGGAGACCTGCCCTGCAGGGACTTTGAGGAACAGGTGAGACATGGCCCCCGAAACACCCCCCAGAGGGCAGGCCCCTCACGTTCTGGGAAAGTGCCCTTGTCAGTGTCCCCCTGTGCCAAATCCCGCAGGAGACAACGACCTCATTCTGCGGATCACATGGCACGGGGCCACGCATGCCAGTGTTTGTGGATGGAGTGAGATGGGCGTGAACAGAGCGTGGAAGGGCAGGGTGTCAGTGGAGGTGGCTGAAGGACGGCCGCCGAGGTCAGGTGAGGAGGTCTTGGGACAACCCCCAAGCCCCCAGTCGCCCCCAGAGGGCAGGGCACGCAGCACCGTGGAGCTGGCTCCCCGCCCCGTGAAGTGGAAAGGCAGTCCTGGCCCTTGGAAACCCACAATCCTTGTAGCAACCCAGGGAAAGCGCCCGGAAACTCGAGTGGAAGGGGCATTCCCTACAGACAGGAGCACGTGTCCAGTTTTGTCCAGGTGGGCAGCTGCACACATTCCCCCCCCCGCAGGACCAGACTGGGAGGCCCACGCCCTGGGCCTCGGGGAGGAACATTCCTGGGACGCGAATCTCTCAGGGGGCTCTTTCTGCTGGCTCATGAATCTGAAAGCTGTCTCAGGATGGCAGCTGCGGCCACTTCCGGAAGCCGTGGCTTCCGTGTGCTGCCACCTGTCCCTGGGGACAGATTCTAGGGAAACAAACAGCCAGCCCCAAAGTGGTCACGCCCACCCTGCTTGTGTCTTCCCTTTGCCCTGGACCACGCTCACAGCCCAGGCTGACCGCCGAGCTGCCTCCGTCTGGCTCGGTTTCACTCCCCTGAAATGCCCTCAACTTGGCCTTATAATCTACCCAGGTCCCCAGCAATGCCTCACTGCCTGCTGTCCCACGTTCCGTCTGTTAGCCATGCCCTTCCCCAACGCAGCAGGCCCTGTGAACGGGGTGGGAGCTACCCCAAACCTTCCTGACAAGGGACATCACACAGTCTCCCCACAGGGGTCCCCTCCAGCCTTGCCCAAGCCTCTGACAGGGCCCTCCTCATGTGCTAACCCATCACCTACTGGCTCCTTGGGAACACACATGATGCCCTGTCCTCTGCATCTCTCTACGTGGTACTACTGCTAGTGAGATTCAACATGTGTTTGTTGATTTAACAACAAAAAAATTTAACCTAGCTGTACATAATTTAAACGTGTTTTCTAAACAGGGCAGGAGAACATTTTAATGTACCCCAAACGTACCCTCCTTTGGGAGCTTCCTGTAACAGGAGCTGTGGAAAGCAAAGGGGGTGGGCATTCAGCCCAGCCAAGTACAGCTGTGCAGGTTGTGCACAGCACAACTACAGAGGATACCATTACATCATGGCCAGCATAGACTTGTATGTTTACTGTGGTGATTATGCTTCTGCTGGAAGTAAAGTGCCTTGAGGAAAGGCAGGCACCTTTCACTGGTTCATGCAAAGACAGAGAACAGGCCACTGGCTGCCTTGCTCATGTCCACCTGGGGGTATGGGCTGCCTGGGGACCAGGATGCATCCATAAAGAATCACATCAACACCAGGAGACACAACTCCGGTCCTAACTCTCCTGGGAGCCACACGGTAGACACTGTTAAAGGTTCTCACTGACCAAGGGTCCCATACACACTGCAGTGAAGAGTTTGCTGAACACACGTGGAGCAAGGCAGGGGCAGTGTGGAAAACCAGTCGGCCACGCAGTGGGCCCCAGAGTTCCCACCCCATGGCAGGCCTGCAGACACCCCTGGTGTCTGCCTTGCAAGACTGCAGGTGGCCAGGCCTCCAGTGGCCTCACCGTCTCCCAGAAGGGCACCACAATGGACCTACAGGGAAGGCTGCATTTTACATGGGCCCCGCAGGTAGCAGGTGCCAGCGATGACAGCTGGCGTTAAGGGTTTGTCAGTCACTGAACAAGCTCTCTTGGCAGTGGCACCGATCCTGGAGGAGGTGTCAATGTGAAGCCACAGGAAAGCAGAGCCCGGGTGGCCAAGGTGTGTGAGCACGTGGGGCCCCAGGGTGGCTCTGTCTACCCTGTCCCACAGGGGAAGGAGCATTACAGGCATTTTCATTTTGAGCACAGGCACCGCTGGGGCAGACCAGATGGCTTCCCCCGGCTCTTGGATCCCAGCTGGGATGTGACCTGGTCAAGTCAGATGGCTACGTTTCTTCCCTGCCCCACTGGGATTGGGTTTTGGTCTAGGACTAACACTCAGAAACAGTTGGGGCCAATGGTTAAGCTACCACGTTAATAAGTAAATTAATGTGGC